ACGATAAAGCATTCGAAGGCGAGCGACCTGCAGTCTGTGTTGACAGCCCAGACGTGGCGAGTGCTCGCGTCGATGAAGGTCAGTGTGTAGTATTCGCCGTCAAGACCCTCATGCGTCTGGCACATGAAGTCGCTGTAAACCTTGTCGAGCGGCTTGTAACGTTCGTAGCCGGGCGGTAGGTCGGGGAAGGGCTTGTGGGCGAGCGACGCGGTGGGGCACACGGTGCAGGACGGGTCAGCGGAGTCTGCTGTGAGGAATCCTCCTCGCGGGCGAAGCAGGGCTTCGTTGTCGAGAACCCCTGCCTTCAGAGAGTTCTTGAGTGTTGTATGAGAAGGATGCCCGAGCCGCTGATGCCATATTTCCGGTTCCGCACGGTAGCCCATTGTTTTTTTATAATATTTTTGTCTTGCTGCTTCGTCGTTTGCCTCCCCTTCAGGTCCCGTATCGGCGGCGTCGTCGGTGTCAGTGTCGGTGGCGAACGCGCGAATTGCCTTCCGTTCCAGAAGCTCGTGAGGAATACCGATGATGTCGTCGGTGTCGCCGGCGTCGACTTGGTCTCCAGTGACGAGCAGGCACTGATTGGGCCAGTCGCGAACTGGCAGGCCCTTCACGGGGATGCGGTAGTAGCTAAACTCGGCTCCGACGACCTCAATTTCTTGCGGTCCTTGGACTGGTGGTTCTGCTTCCTCGGTAGGTCCTGGTAGCTCCGCCGCTTCGCCGAAAAGTTCATAAATTGCTCTTGCTCCCCTGAATCTTCCTCCATGGGTTCTGGTGTGTCAGGGGCGTACTGGTTCGGAAGAGGAGGGCCACCCCAGCTGGTGCTACGTGTTGCCCAGTAGGGATCGACCTCTGGTGGTTCGGCGGAGGGAAAATCTGGAGCGTCGGACCGAGGAGGATCCGCTTGCTCCGATTCTGCTGCCCCTGTGGAGGTGTCCCAACCGCTTGTGTCAACGGGGATGCCCCAATCGCTTGCGCCGGCAGAGGTGCCCTGGTGACTGGGATTCTCTTCGGGACTTGCGACAGTATCCCAGCCACCGGGATTGTCGGCAGCGTCCCTGTCGACTCCTTCGCCCCAGCCTTCTTCCGTTTCGTCCCAACCGCCCCCTACGACCCAGCCACCCTGGTCTTTTGCAGCTGCTTCCTCTGGTGTTAGAACTTCTCCCAAGGGACCGAGTGCAGGGCCAGGACTAACAGGCTCGGTTCCAACCTTCTCCTTTCCTTTGGCGGATTGTTCCGCAGATGCTGACATTCGGCTGTCTTCTTTAATTGATGCAGGTCCGATTTCAGCAGGTACGGTGTGAAGTCGAAGGAGACCGTCCGAGGCGGGTCGCTCGAGATCCATGTCTGTGGGATTCGACCAGGTGGGAGCTTCTGCAGTTGTCTTCAACAGCAGAGTACGGCGAGAGTCTCTTGAGATTCCTTGAGCTGAGAACTGCAAGACGAAGACCCCGTCGTTGTTCACGGCTTTGCCGATGTAGGTGTCGCCGTAGAAAAGTTCAAAAGTCTTGTCTTTACGATTGCTTCGAATGTCGACTCCGCACCTCATGAGCTGAGCCGAAGAAAGCAGATTGTACCGCAGATCTGGAGCGACGAGTACGTCGCCGATGTGAATCGTGAAGTGCGTGTCGTCAGCCTTAAGAAGGATCTCACCGATGTCATATGCTTTAAGTGTTCCGTCGTTCGCCACTGTGATTTCGCAGGGTCGTCGCATGCGCCTGGAGTTGGAGATGAATGTTGGCGATCCCACCCTGTGCTGTCCACAGCAGCTGTCCAAGTACCAGGTATTGGTATCCTCGCGACTTTGCCTCGCGATGTTGGCGATTTTGGGCGTGACCACACGATCTCTTTCTCCGGTGAACGGTGAGAGAGCAAAGTACTGGTTTGCCGCCATGCTGGGAGGTGATTCCGGTGTCGGTGGCGGCAGCTCGAAGTCAGGCGGGTGTCTCTGCGGTGAGGTGGTCCAAGAAGGGGCAGTGGGATCGTTGTCCTGTCTTGGTGAGACAGGGTTGATGGGGTCGTGGAATGCAAATGTTACTCGATCGTAGTATCGGTAACCTCTGTTGCGACGAGCCATGCAGCTCATGATTGTCCCTTTGCCCTTGTCCTTGGTCGTAATGCGCGCAGGTGTTTGCGAAATGCTTGCGACGGAGGGAGGCGAGATTGTGGGTGTTGCAGCGGAGGTTGAAGGAGCGGATGACTGATGGTTGGAATGGTTGTTACGCCTTTCGTCGGCGGCCTTTCGCTTGTAGCATCGGTCGGTAGTATGACCGGGCTTCTTGAAGTACTTGCAGAAAGTCCCCTTCTTCCCGTGCTGCTCCCCTTCAGACGTTCCGACGTAGAAAACTAATTTTTCTCGCTTTGTGTTTTTCTCGTTGTACAGATCGATCTCCTTTTGTTCGGAGAGGAGTGTGGCGCACAGAGCCGATTCGGAGACGGATGCTCGAGCGCGGAGCAAAGATTGGCATTGACGCCAGTCGGGACTAAGGTCGGAGAGGACCATTGAGACAAACATGTCGTCGGGAACGGATCCGCCACACTTCTTGATGTGATCGCGCAGATTGCGGCATCGGTTGATATATGGTCCCGCCTTTTCTCCTTGATGCATTTTGACCGATGTCAGCTGGCTGAGTAGGCGACTCATGGTGACTGGATCTGTTGCCATGTATGAGTTGCGCAGGTGCTCCCAGGAGGCGTACGCGGGCGCCTACTCTGACTTGTAGGAGCGAATGCCAAGCTGTTCTTCGGGGGAGAGATTTCGGAGCAGAGTGGTGTACGCAAGAAGAGATTCGTGGTAGTACTGATTCTTCTCTTGAATGGTGCCTTCCGTTGGAAACGGTAGGCTCCCGTCGTAGTACATCCAGATTTGCGCTGTTGTCGCGAGAAGTTCGAATTCGAAGCTCCAAGTGTAGAAGTCCTTTCCGTTAAAAGGAATTGATGTCTTCAGCTTTGAGGTCAGTACAAATTTTGTCTGCATTGTTGCAATTGTATCTGAATGTGCGCGTTGTTGACTGTCTTGCGCAGGAGCTGAAGCTTGACGATTCTCAAATGTAAATGACCTCTCGGAGTTGACGCGGCGGTCTTCTCCAGGGAGAGGAAGTCCAGCACCTCCACGTGCATAGCTTGAGCCGTCGATGCTCATCGCTTGATGGCTTTCGAGGGCGTTGATGCGAGCGACCAGCTGCTCAACGAGAGCGGCGCTGACGGAGGTCACCGCTGATGGTGCAGTGGGTGATGTTGCTGATGGTGGGCACGGAGAGTCTGCAGTGGCTTTTCCTTCTGGAGCCATAGTGATGCAGAGTCCTTTAATGATGTAATAAATAATTTATAGAGAGATTGTTCTGTCAGGAACAGGAGCTTGGCAGGCCTTATAATTCACTCTAGCTCTCATACCATGCTGATACAACTGAAGGAGCGTAGTGAATAGAATAAGGTTGTCAAGTGTGAATGAGAACTATGAAGTCTCAGTAATGACCTTGTTAATAATTGAAGAGAACAAGATGATTAAAAGATAGGAGTACAAGGATATAAATAGCATTCCTAGCTAGCCATGTACTCTGAGGGGTACATTCCCTTATTAACTGAATTGCATTGCTACAGTAACCCACGACTATTGCCATTCTAGACAGTTACCATGTTGCACCTTGCAACTGCCTCGTGCGGTTACCGGTTAGTCAAGGGTCACGACCGTTGACTATCTTCGACTGTTGACCTTCGGGTGACCCTCGAACTTCCGCGTGCTCTATATGAGCTATTGCGGTACTGGTACAGGCGTTCACCCCTTTATGGAGTGACGCAAGAGTGGACAACTTTCGGGAATGTTTGTCATAACCTTTCGGTTATTCCAACATTGGTCTTGGTCAGATGGTTGCTGCGTCGTTTCGACTCTTCTGACTCCTCGACTTCGTACTCGGTAGAGTCGGCTCCTGCAGCATACAGGAATGCCTTTTCATGCAACTTCATATCGTGACAGAGAAGAGCCGGGTTTTACGTGCATCCGTGGCCGTAGTTTTGCGATTTTTACGTGAATCTGTGGCCCTAGATTGGTGGGGAGGTAGTAGCGGGCGACATGTTTGTGGAGGTGCACTACCATCACCCCTCCATGGAGGCCTTCACGTGGACAGATAGGTTCAATCACACGCTAGATGAGACAACACGGTTGTTGACTGACTTGAGACGAGCTGAGTTCTATGTTCACCTGTGGCCGTAGAGTGGACGATCTCTTGAGGTGCACTACCACCACCCCTCCATGGGGGGTCTCACGTGGACGGATAGGTTCAACTACACGCGTGATGACACAACACAGTTATTGACGGACTTGAGAAGAGCCGAGTTCTACGTTCACCGTGGCTGTAGATGAAGTTTGTCGCCCAACCTTGGTTGTAGGTGGGCGCTCTAGTAAATGGAGCCGTAGTGAGGGCAATCGCTGGTGTGGAGGCACAAACAAGACTCTTGTAATTAACAAGAGGTAGTGGATAGGGTAGGGGTGTGGATTCGCACCTTGTCTGTATTTTCAAATTTGTATGTGAGTGTACCAGCTCGAAGGGCCTTGCCCTCCACCACCGCACGTTTAGCACGTCCCATGTGCTTTGTGCGACGACGACGGAAGCGTTGGCGACACCGAACTCCGTGTAGGGTTGTTTGTGTTCGCTATGACGCAGATTGTTCGCATTTTGCTCGCCAGCGTGCGATAACAAATCCCGAGACGCGCGAGTGGAATTGAGAACTGAGACACAAACGCGCGGATTCCTTTCCCTCATCTCACAAACGTGTTCTCATCTGCTACCACCCCATCTCCTGTCGAAACTTTTCGGTGACAAACATGTTCTCATCTCATCTCACAAACCCACGCAATCAAGTCAGAGTCACCAAACCAAACTGACTCTGCACAAGCAACATGGCATGGTGATTGTTTTGTCATCCTCCAGTGGTTGTCAATTCCCCATTTCTACCAGTTTTAGCAGATCTATTGTGACGCGCTAACGAAACGTCAACTAGCGACGATGACGAGTGCGCGCGGTCGCGAGAGCTCTCGCCTGCTGTCGCTCCCCGACGAGCTTCTCCAGCCCATCCTCGCGCGCGTCGACCATCCGCGTGATCGCTGCAGCCTCGCGCTCTCCTGCTCTCACCTCCGCCGCCTCTCCTGCCGCACGCCCCACTCGATCCGCCGCGGCTTCTCCGTCGCCTGCGGATGGATGAAAAAAAACGTGGTTTATTTCGGGGTATTTACCCGAATAGTTGACCTCACGGTGGAGGTTAGCAGCATCAGCATGGACCAGCTGCTGAGGGGAATCGGCGCGGGCTGTCCGAAATTGGAAAGGCTGAACATCCGAGTCATTACGGTGCGCGACCAGTTTCAGATCAACGTTACGGCTTGGAGGGAGCTCGCGAGGCAATGCCCGTGAGTGAGCGGCTGTCTTGATTTGTGAGATTCTAAAAAAGCGCACGAGACCGTCTCGTGACCCAAATTTGGTTTTGTCGGCACCTCTCTGTGACTTTTTGTGTGATTCTTGGTAGAAAAACCTACGGCCTCAAAATATGGCCTCTTGCCTTTTCCATTGTGACAATGCTCTTGAGTGAGTGATTTTGAGTGATTTATGGCCTTGCCGCAAAAGCTCCTCTTTTATGTAATTAGACCTTCCTTTCGTCTTTCTCATCCCGTTTCTCGTCCATAATCTTTGCTTATATATCCTTAGCATCGTTGCAGCTGTATTCCGCTCTTGTATCCTCTTGGCTTTAGTTTGCCCGCGGCCAGAAAAATGGATCAATTCAACTCCCGTCATTTCTTCGCACTCTTGTGCACTCCGTTTCCTTCGCGCTTTGCGCAATGGGCTGTTCGTCTCCCTCATCCCATTGCATGATGTAATCGTGCAAGGCAATCCCCGTAAGGTGAGCGGTTTGAGTCTTGCCGCAACGGCGCTTTCTTCCTCTCGTTGCGGATTGCCGCATTCACCTTCCCCCCAACTTCCCCCCTTCTCTCCACCGCCTCCTCTCCGCCCTTCATCAGCCTCGTAACGTCACTGGAGCTCGACTCTCCATTTGATCGGCAGCCCCTCAGCTTCAACGCCCCTCTGCCTCCCCCAGTAGACGCCTTCCCCTCACTGCGCTCGCTCACGCTCCTCTACAAGCCCTCGCACTATCGCTTCATCTCCTGCTGCTCCACCCTCACCTCCCTCACCCTCTGGCGGCCCAACGCCTTCGCCCTCTACTCCCTCGCCTCCCCCTCCTCCCCTCTGCGCCTCTCCCTCGCCTCCCTCACCATCCAAACCGCCTGGCTGGAAGCCGCACTCACGCCTCTAGCCTCGTTTCCTCGCCTCGCTTCTCTCTCCTTCCACTCCTGCAGCATCGATCCGGGCGAGTTTCACGCCCTCTCGCGCTCCCTCCACACGCTTACCCACCTCGCCCTCCACGACTGCCCCTTAGTCTCAAGTCACTCCATCGCCACCCTCGCTCAAGCCAACCTGGCTCTCTCCTCCGTCTCCCTCCACTCCACCTCCTACCCTCTCTTCATCTCCCAAGGCCTCCGTAATCTGCTCCGCTCTTGCTCCTCCCGCCTCCACACCCTCACCCTCTCCGGGCTGCCCTCGTATCGTCCGGGCATGCTTGCACGCTGCAACAGCCTGCAACGTCTCACGCTGAAAGGAAGGAAGGAGGCGAGGTGGAACATTTTTGTCTCCGAGCCTCCGCAAAAACCGTCTTTGGAATGCATTGTGGCTATGCTGGTGCGCGTGGAACAGCGAGGAGGTGGCGGAGAATTGAATGGAGGGGGCAAGGATCAAAATTACGGTTTCCGTATTATACGTTCCGTATTATACGGTCGTATTATACGGTGCATTTCTCAAAAATACGCCGTATTTTTAATAGACTTGGTTTTTTTTATTTATTCTCCAAGCAAGCACTGGAATTGTTTCTTAGGTTCATAAATATACTCACAAGCCTAGCATAGCAACAGAACTACAACAGAAATCTACCATTCCGACTACTACCGAACACTACATTACTCCAACCCTATCCTATCGGCCCCTCTCTCTCTCTCTCCTCCCACCTGCAGCCTCCTCTCTACTCTACTCATCCTGCTCCTCCTCCTCCTCCTCATCGTCATCCGCCTCCTCCTCTTCCTCCCCACTAGACCCGTCACTGATGTCCCAAGGATCATGGCCAGTTCGAGCCTTAGTGGGCACGTCCTCCTCCTCCCCTCCACTGCTATTCGCCGCCTCCTCCTCCTCACCCTCTTCCTCTCCCACAGTTGTTGCCTTCCTCGTTCCCTTGGTAGGCTGCTTGGCCTTCCCGTTTCTCTTCCTTTTAGCGGACTTAGGCACCTTCTTCTTCCGCTTCCCAATGTTCCCGAAAAGGTCCCAATCAATGGTGCATAGCTGCTCATTCCCCTCTCCCTCCTCCTCGTCGTCTCCCACTTCCTCGACCTCTGCTGCTGCCGGTTCAACGGTACTCCCTTGCTTGAGAGTGCCGTTGGCCAGATCGGCATAGAGCTTCGCCCTCTCCCGTGATTTCCTATCGAATGCATCCCTGGCCCTCCTGGCGAACGCCACCTCTGTCACGTCCATCATCTTTTTGGCGCTGATGCGGTTACGGTCCCGCCTCTGCACACGTGCAATGGCGGACCAATAGCGCTCCACCTCAGATGACGTGACTGGCTGTGACAGCAGCGTCACAGCCATCCCCATGAGCGCTTGCACTTCCCCGCCGTACATCAGCCACCACTCCGCCTCCGTCAAGCGCCCACTCGCCACCAACTCCGTTGCTGCCCAACGGGCGTCATCGGACCCGATCAGCCCCTTGCCCTGATGAAACTGCGTCAGCTGCGCCAACAGCAGCGTGCGTTGAGCCACATCCCCCCCACGGGCCTGGATCACCGCTTCCGCCCCGCGCCTTACCTCGGCATCGTTCTTCACCTCCCCTAGGTACTGATTGCGGGGGTTGAGAAGCCACCCCATAGCATGGAGTGGATTGTGGAGCTGGGCGTCCCACCTCCTGGCTATGATAGCCTTGATGGCATTCAGAAAGGCCGGCTTGTCCTTGGCCGGCAAGAGAGCTGTGCGTTTCAGCATCATTTTGGCTGCCCATCGGGAGAACCGGAGAGCACGAGGTGAGTACAATGGGCGGGAAGGGTATACAATAGTCAAAGCGTGTGGCAATTCACAGCTTACCTGCCGCCTCTGCCGCCTCGTTTGTCTTCACCGTGGCATCTAGCATGAGGCCATAAATCTGGCCCATGACTAGAGCACGCGTGTCAACCACCCGCAGCACTTCGTACACGGGAGTCATGAGGCGGAGGACCGCTGTCGCGCAGTCCCAAAAGACCTCATCCAAGAGGAGCTTGCGGACAGCTTGCCCCTCTTCAGACCGTGCCACCGCCACCGCCTCCCACTCCTCACTTATCACCATCTCCTTGAGCGCTCTCTTTACCTCCAGGAAGCGGGTAATCATAATAACCTGCGTGCCGAAGCGTGTTGCACCGGGACGCACCAAGGACAGTGTGCTAAACAAATCGTGGAAGAGCGTGACGGCGGACGCGCTGCCCTTGACCATCATAACCACCCTGTGCACCTGGTTTAGCACCCGCTTCACAGCACAGACGTTGCCGATGTCGTGAAGCATCAAGTCGAGGACGTGCGCCGCACAGTTGTTGAAGAAAATGGCGGGAAACCCGTCACGAAGAATGTCGGCCGCCCTGCGGTTGTTGGACGCATTGTCCATGACGACTTGGACCACCTTCTTGTCTCCAACCTCGGCGATCAAGGTCCGGATGAGGCCGGCCAAGTACTCCCCCGTCTTCTTCGCGGTCTTGGAGTCCACGGTCTTCACGATGACAGGTGCCGTGTCATTGTGGGCTATGACACACACGAGCCCACGGCTCTTCATGCAGGTCCAGCCGTCCACGGAGATGGTGCAGCCGGTAGTGTTCCAACTCTCCTTCAGGGGCCGTACAATGTCCTCGGTATCCGCTACCAGTTTTTGAAGCAGCACACCAGAAACCCTGAAGGGGGACGGGAGGTTGTATTGTTTCCCGTAGGCAACAGCCGCATCCACGAAGTTCTGCACGGCTGGCGACTTGGACGTGTGGAACGCCCAATCGTTATCAGCCACTGCAGCGGCCCATAGGTAGTCCAGTCGAGCGCGTGCAGAGTCATCCACCATGTGGCGGATGTCCCGCTGCCGAGTGCGACGAGCGGGCTGGATGTCGAGGGTCGAAGTGGAGCCATGGATTGACGGAGTGGCGCTTCCAGAACGCTCACTAGCTGCTGCTGCTTCCTCGCGAAGTTTGATGGCGACTTCGTGGCCGCACGGCTTCACATTCTTATCATGGTCAGAAGGCGTCCCATAGATGTGCTCTCCTATGCGTGTTGCATTAGCAGTCACGGAGTTGGAGCAGTGTACGCATTTCGCCGTTAAAGTGCCGTCTGGTCCCTTCGCCGTTGTAACGTGCTTCCACAGTGGCGATTTCTGCCTCGCCATGGCGTATGCCCTGACTGGCACGAACCCTGGTGGAGCACACTGAAGACTAGACTAGTGCTATGCATAGGATTAGGAGTGACTAAACAAAGCTCCTAAGTACCTCGTTGTGGAAACTGGGCGTGTTGTGTCGAGTGGGTTTGGGATAGGGTTGAGCGCAAGGGATATATTCCGATTGGTTGGCTTGGTTTCGCACCGCCACTTTTGGATGTGTCGCGACTGCGGGCGAAAAAAACCTCCGCTGCGCGAAAATGTTGAACGGGGAAAACGATACGTGCGATCGAATGGGTACCTATCGCCAACTGTTGCAGAGTCGCGCCTCGGGAAATAGAACACGTTCCCCTTCGGCGACTGCTGCCAACGTGGTGGCGAAACATGTAACCTGGATGTTGGCGTCGCCAAATGCCCAAATGTCGCGACGCGCAGAAGTCGTGACATTTGCGACTCGGGGAAAACGCACATTCGTGTGTACAGTTGTCAGAGAAATTTGAGTTTTGGTTATCCACGCGTGGGAGATTTTGAGTTTCGATATACACATACTCGGTTTCAAATTTTCGGTCGAATTAAACGGTCGTATTTTTCAACCAAACAAAGAAATCCACAATCTACCGTTTTAAACCGTATTATACGCTCGTATTATACGATGCCGTATTATACGGTGAATTTCCAATAATTCGGTCGTAATTTTGAACCTTGGGAGGGGGGCATGGAGTGGATAGACGGGAAGGGGAGATGGTTGTGGAGTACGGCAAGGGAGGAGGTACATCTACTTCCGTTGCAGCAGTAGCAGCAGGAGGAGCAAAAGCATCAGCAGATACAGGAGAAGATGAAGCGGAAGCAGCAACAACAGAAGAACCAGAAGCAGCAGAAAGAGACGAACCAGCTGCCCCTTTAGCAGCTGCAATGTCGGTGGCCACCCACGAGCGCATCAGGGGTGACAGGGCGCGGTGGTACTTGGATTTCCGTACTGAAGCGGCAGCAGCACGCGCTGACGCAGGTGCAGCAATTAACGACTGGAGGGCCCTGAGAAACTCTGCTCAGTGCCAGCCTAGGAAAGCAGCGTCGGACGCCCTGCGGGCTCAGCGCATGTTTGCCCTCTCGGAGATCCCGCATGCAGTCATTGAGGTCCGGGCGGCCATAACCCTCTGCCAGTGCCTACGGGTGGCTGTGGTCGACGTAGATGGCAGGGTTGCACGCGAGAAGGCACTGGCAGAGGCCTGTGCTGTTCCTGAGGCTGCAGGGTTATTCACGGCAGAGCTGGACCACGAGAGAGAGGAGGCTGAACGGGAGAGGGAAGGGCAAGATGGAGGAGGGAGGGAGGTGGAAGAGCTGGTTGGGTTCATACCGGAGAATGAGCTGCCGGCTGATCTGGCAGGTGAGTGAGACGCTGCTGAGGGAAGAGACGGGTGGGTGGTCGGCGGTGTCACAAGAAGAGGCGCACGCACTGTTGCATGCTCTGACGGAGCAGCTGGGGGCGGAGATGGAGGCCATGAGTGATGCCTTGGAGTTCGCTCTTCCACCACTGCCTGGGCCGGCAGCACAAGGAGCAGCTGTAGTAGCTCCAGAGGCAGCAGCAGAAGGGGCATCGGAAGAAGATGCAGCAGGGGAAGGGGCAGCAGGAGACGGGGCAGCAGGAGATGGGGTGGTAGCAGAAGGGGTGGCGGCAGTGGGGGCAGCAGCAAAGGAGCCAAGTGCAGAAGTAGGACTGATGATGAGAGAGGGCGCAGGAGCAGCAGCAGCTCAGCAGCTACTAGGGGCAGAGGCAGGAGACGACGAGCAGCTGGGTGGCAGAAGGTCAACTCACACTCCTCCACAGGAAAGCACACCCTCCAAAAAGAGCACACCTCCAAATATGAGCACACTCGCAATTCCTGTGGAAGTGTTCTGCCCTCCACTGGAGTGCCTAACCCTCGAGAGCATTCAGTTCGCCTCCACTGGTGTCCCTTCCTGGCTGCCTTCCCCCCTCCCCTCTTCCTCGCCTCTCATGTACCCCTCTCCCCCCACCATACCCCTCCCTTCTTGCCCTTCATCCTCCTCCCCCAATCCTGTCCCAGTGCAAAGCAGCAAGCCACAGTCCTTTGAGTCTCTCACACGAGCTGCTGTGTTCGGAAGGCTCAAGAGCTTGGCTCTCTTGAACTGTACTGGGCTGAGGGAGGGGCAGCTGGTGAGGCTGCTGCGAGCATGTGGCATGCTGGAGGAACTGCGGGTGGAAGGCAGTGACGCGTTCTCAGACACGGTGATTGCAGGGAGTCAACTGGATGTGCTGACTCGGTTGACTGTGGTGGGGTGCGGTGGAGTCACTGCAGACGGCATTGGCTGCTGGGGAATGTGACAAGGCTGCGGTATTTGAAGGTGGAGGCGGATAAGGTGTCTGAAAGGGCTCGCCAGGAGCTGCTTCGTGCAGGAGTGGTTGTTAGAGGGGTGTGAGTGTAGGAATGGGGAAGGTGTAGTTAGTTACTGGGTCTATTCAACTCATAAGCCAATCTCCGGCTGGGTTTGTTTCTTGTTCGGCGTCAAACATGTCCGTTTGTACCGTAAAATCTCAAGTGTACCTTGAAAACTTGGACCACACCTTGTCATGTCAACAGTACCCAGCCCACTAATGACCCATCCACTCGTGCCCCGCCCCACCCACTGGAGCGCGCCCAGCCCATCTACCTGTATGCCAAGGGCGGACGAGGAACCCAATCAGGCGCATGCGGTCGTGCCGTGCTGTGTCATCAAGTACCGTACCATCAAGCAAAGCAGAGCCCAGCCCTTTTCAAGTTGAGTATTGTAGCAGCAGCCGTGCAGTATCATCAATTACTGTACCGTATGCTTAAAGATACCATAGTGTCGAAGTATATGCATGTTATATATGTGTAGGCTGTAGTGGAGTAGCCAATATGGGGTACAGCCCCTTTTAGGGTTTCATACTTGTACGTCAACTCTTTCATAGTTGATTCATTCCTGCTGCTAGATTCTAACATGGTTTCAGAGCACTAGGTCCGTAGGACCGTTTTTTTTTCGGGCCCACCTACCGTTGCGGTTACCGCGCTACCCCAAGTGTTGTCTGCGCCTGCCTGCCTGCCTGCCTGCCCTGCCTTGTGACGTGCTGCGCTGCGCGCGCCGTCCTGCAGCCCTCGTGCTGCCTCCTGCTGCCCTAGGCCAGCGCGCCGCCCCTGCAGTCCCGTAAGGCCCGCGCGCCGCCCCTGCAGGCTCGTAAGGCCCACGCGCCGCCTCTACAGGCCCGTCAGGCCCACGAGCCGCCCCTGCAGGCCCGTCAGGCCCACGAGCCGCCCCTGCAGGCCCGTCAGGCCAGAACGCGGCCCCGCCCTGCCTCTGACGCGGCCGCGCCCAGCCTCTGACGTGGCCGCGCCCTGCCTTCGACGCGACCCCGCCCTGCCTTCGACGCGGCCGTGCCCTGCAGCCGACGCGGCCCCGCCCTGCCTCTGACGCGGCCGCGCCCGGCCTCTGACGCGGCCGCGCCCTGCCTTCGACGCGGCCGCGCCCTGCCTTCGACGCGGCCGCGCCCTGCAGCCGACGCGGCCCCGCCCTGCCTCTGACGCGGCCGCGCCCTGCAGCCGACGCGGCCGCGCCCTGCCTCTGACGCGGCCGCGCCCAGCCTCTGACGCGGCCGCGCCCTGCCTTCGTCGCGGCCGCGCCCTGCCTTCGACGCGGCCGCGCCCTGCCTCTGACGCGGCCGCGCCCTGCATCACGCGGCCCCGCCCTACCTCTGACGCGGCCGCGCCCAGCCTTTGACACGGCCGCGCCCTGCAGCCGGCGCGGCCCCGCCCTGCCTCTGACGCGGCCGCGCCCTGCCTCTGACGCAGCCGCGCCCTGCAGCCGACGTGGCTCCGCCCTGCCTCTGACGCGGCCGCGCCCTGCCTCTGACGCGGCCGCGCCCTGCCTCTGACGCGGCCGCGCCCTGCCTCTGACGCCGACGCTGCCCCGCCCGGACGCCGACGCGGCCCCGCCAACCCTGCAGCTGACGCGGCCCCGACCTGCCGCTGACGCGGCCCCACCCTGCAGCTGCCGCGGCCCTACTCTGCAGCTGCTGCTGCGGCCCCGCCGTCGCCGCCGTCGTGCGCCTACCCTGCCGCCGCCCGCCGAGCGCCGGCCCTTCCCACCACTGGTGAGCACCTGCCTTGTTCGCACACTGCCGCGCCCTCTGCCTGCCTGCCTGCCTGCCTGCCTGCCTGCCTGCCCGCCTGCCTGCCTGCCTGCCTGCCTGCCTGCCTGCCTGCCTGCCTGCCTGCCTACCGCGCCTGCCCTGCCCGCGCTGCTGCTGCTACTACTGCTACTGCTGCTACTGGCGTTGGCCAGATGCAGCTCCAGCGACGTCCGCGTGAGTCCCTCACGCCCCAGCAGCTTCGTGAGTGGTACGCTAGTTGGGGTTGTAGGGGTGGCCGCGCTACTACTGTTGCTACTGCTGCTACTGCTGTTACTACTGCTACTGCGGCTACTACTGCTACTGCTGCTACTGGCGGTGGCCAGATGCAGCTCCAGCGACGTCCGCGCGAGTCTCTCACGCCCCAGCAGCTTCGTGAGTGGTACGCTCAGAGTAGAGGGTCTTTGAGTACCGTTCACTGCCCGTACGTCATTCGCACAGGTGATCGGACTGGTCAGGCTTGCGGAACGCTTAGTCACACACTGTCCCGCTGCTTCGCCCGTCTGAGCGACGCTTGGCGTACCGAGTTTGGCGACGAGGCTGAGCTCCCCACCTGGCTGGAGCTGCTTGGACAGGGGGTAGATATCTTTGCTCTTGACTATGATGCTATTCTAACTGCCATGTATGCATTGCCTACTAGTGCTGACCGTGCCTGTTACCTGTGCGTACCGCGTGACCTAGGTATAGAGCCTGCTGCTCTAGGTGCTGGTGAGGCTGCTGCTCTAGGTGCTAGTGAGGCTGCTGCTCCAGATGCTGGTGAGTCTGCTCTCTCTGGTACTGCGCCTGCTGAGGCCTTGTACACCTTCACACTTGACTCCGGTGCTTCTCGCTCCTTCTTTCGCGACAGCACCACCCTCACGCCGCTCAGTCGGCCGGTTGTAGTCTCCCTGGCAGACCCCTCTGGGGGTCCAGTCCGTGCGACCTCCACCACTGTCCTCCCTTGTCCTGCTGTCCCGTCCGGCACACTATCGGGTCTTTACCTCCCCTCGTTCTCTACGGGCGGGTTCTGCGCTCCAGGATGCGGGTGTTCACCAATTCACCCCTGCCTATGAGCGTGTGACACACTGCACGTGTGCTCAGACGGCTCGTCACCTGGCTACCTTCACTCGGCAGCCGGGGTCGGGCCTGTACACACTAACCACTAAGTCCCCTCGGGTAGCTGCGTCTGCGTCTGCGTCAGGTCAGTTGTCGGCCCCCTGCTCGTGTCGCGCCTTGTCGCACCAGACCCTCCTTTGGCACCACCGCCTTGGTCACCCCTCGGTGCAGCGCCTTCGCAGCATGCACCGCCGTGTCCTTGTCTCTGGTCTTCCCAGGGTTCTCCCTCCCCTCCCACCATTGCCTGCTCCTCCGTGTCTTCCCTGTGTCGAGGGGCGGCAGCGCGCCGCTCCTCACTCCTCCTCGTTCCCTCCCACAGAGGCTCCCCTGCAGACTCTCCACCTGGACGTGTGGGGCCCAGCCCGCGTCCGTGGACAGGGCCACGAGCGGTACTTCCTGCTGGTCGTCGACGACTACACGCGTTACATCACGGTCTCCCTGATGTTTTGATCCCTTGGATCCGCGCTGCTCGTCTCCAGCTCCGCGAGCGGTTCGGGACGGAGTTTCCCGTCCTGCGTCTGCACTCTGACAGAGGTGGGGAGTTTTCCTCCGACCTCTTGGCAGGCTTCCGTGCGGAGCACGGCATCCGCCAGACGTTCAGGCTTCCGGCCTCTCTGCAGCAGAATGAGGTTGCTGAGCGCCGCATTGGCTTAGTCATGGAGGTCGCTCGTACCTCCATGATCCATGCGGCTGCCCCCCATTTTCTGTGGCCGTTTGCGGTCCGGTATGCCGCGCATCAGCTCAACCTCTGGCCCCGTGTCTCCTTGCCGGAGACCTCGCCCACACTTCTGTGGACGGGGAAGGTTGGCGATGCGCCGCGTTTCCGGGTCTGGGGTGCTCGTGCCTTTGTCCGCGATACCACCGCGGACAAGCTCTCCGCCTGCGCTGTTCCGTGTGTCTTCCTTGGCTTTGTCCCTGACGCGCCTGGTTGGCAGTTTTACCACCCCACCTCGCGCCGTGTCTTCCCCTCTCAGGACGTCACGTTCGACGAGTCGGTTCCCTTTTACCATCTCTTCCCCTACCGCACTGCCCCTCTCCCCCCCCCGCCGCTCTTCCTCACTCCAGGTGCTCCCTAGGTAGACCCCCTCCCCGCTCCCGGTCCTGCTCCTTCAGGTGTGTCTCAGGTAGACCCTCCTCCCTTGACTGCACCGGTTGAGGTCACTGGTGACTCAGGTCCTGCTGAGGGTGGTCCTGCTCGGGGTGCTGCTTCTGGGGGTGCTGAGCCTGGGGGTGCGGAGCCTGGGGGTGCTGAGCCTGGGGGTGCGGAGCCTGGGGGTGCGGAGACTGGAGGTGCTGAGCCTGGGCGTGAGGAGTCTGGGGGTGCTGAGCCTGGGGGTACTGAGTCTGGGGGTGCTGCACCTGGGGGCGCTGAGGCATCTGGTGAGCAGTCTCCTTGGGGCGGCCGTCTCCATAGTCGCTCCGCTGGTACCTCGCCGCTGCACTCTCGTCGTCGACTCCCTCTCTCCCCACAGCAGCTGCGTGAGTGGTACGTTGGCCGCCAGGGTCGCGCTGCTGGAGCTAGGGGCCCTGCTGCGGGAGGCGCTGGAGCTGGTGACTCTGCTACTAGAGTTGTTTCTGCTGGAGGTGGAGCTGCTGAGGGTGCTGGAGCTGGAGGTTCTGGAGCTGCTGAGGGTGCTGGCGCTGGAGGTTCTGGAGCTGCTGCGGGTGCTGGCGCTGAGGGTTCTGAGTCTGCTGTTGCGCGGTCTCCTTGGAGTAGCCGCCTTCGTCCGCGTGTGCCTCTCACCTCACAGCAGCTGCACGACTGGTACGGTCGCCGTCAGGGTCGCGCTTCTGGAGCTCGGGGCTCTGCCGCTGGAGGTACTTCTGCTGGCGTCACTGGAGCTGGGAGTGGTCCTGGTCCCGGAGGTGCTCGTACTGGAGGTACTGGAGCTGCTGGGGCTGGAGGTGCTGAGCCTGAGGGTGCTACTGCTAGAGACCCTGGGTCTGGGGGTGCTACTACTGGAGACACTGAGGCTGGAGACCCTAGGACTGGAGGTGCCGGTTCTGGGGGTGCTGCTGCTGGTGGAGCTGGTCCTGTAGGAGCTCGCGCTGAGGGTTCTGGAGCTGCTGGCGGTGCTCGAGCTGCTGGGGGTGCTGGAGCTGCTGGTGCTGGTGGCGCTGCACAGCCGCGCCTGTTCTTTGCTCCACCGTCTCCGTCGTCTCAGCCACCGTCCGACTCTGTGCTTCGCCAGGTTCTTAGTCTCCCTTCGTCTACTGGTCTTCCGTTACAGCCTGGCTCACCGCTGCCTGCTCCTTCTCCTTACACTGAGCAGACAGGGGGTCTTACTGGGCGTCGTGCGCCTGCGTCGCGTCCTGTCTCGCCTGTCCGTTCTGGTCGTTCTGGTCGTCGTGTTCCTCGTTCGCGTCAGCCGGCTGTCACCTCGTAGTTTGTCGTCCTTCCTCTCCTCCGCAGCGTGTTCCCCTGCCGTCCCCTCCTGCATCTTCTCTGCCTACCGTTCCTGAGCCTGAGTCTGACCGCACCCGTGCTGCTCACCCTACTGTCACGCGTCTGCTAGCCACAGTTGTCACTGACCCGTCGTTTGAGTCTGCAGCTGCGTCTGCCTTAGTCACTGAGCTTGTTGACTTTGCTGCTGCCTGTCGTCTAGACTACGCCGCTAGTCTTGTTGCTGAGTCTGAGTATGTCTGTCCTCCGTCCGTCGGGGGTGAGTGTGCTCTTGGCACGGACGTCCTTGAGGACAGGCAGGAGGACCTTGAGTGTCTTGCAGCCGCTGCGCCTCATCTCGTGTCCATGCTGCTTGCCCCTGAGGGAGACCCGGATGCACCAGTCATCCCGACCCCGCGCTCTTACGCTGAGGCGATCGTGGGTGAGTACTCCTCTCAGTGGCAGACAGCCATGGACGCAGAGATGGCATCCTGGAAGTCCACACGTTGACGAGGTTCCCCCTCCTGGGGCGAACATCGTCATTGGCATGTGGATTTTCAGGGTGAAGCGGCCGCCAGGTTCTCCGCCTGTCTCCAAGGCTCGTTACATTGCTCGAGGTTTCAGTCAGCGAGAGGGAGTTGACTTCTTCCAGACCTTCTCCCCCACCCCGAAGATGACCACTCTTCGGGTGCTGCTGCACGTTGCCGCTCAGCGTGACTACGAGCTTCACTCTCTTGACTTCAGCAAAGCTTTCTTACAGGGCAGGCTGCACGAGGAGATCTGGCTGCGCCACCCTCCTGGCTTCACTGGGTCGTTCCCTCCTGGTACCCAGTGGAGCCTCCGGCGGCCGGTCTACGGTCTCCGCCAGGCACCACGTGAGTGGCACGACACACTGAGGACTACACTTGCGGCTCTTGGGTTTGCTCCGTCGACTGCTGACCCGTCGCTGTTTCTGCGCACCGACACGTCGCTGCCGCCGTTCTACATCCTCGTGTACGTCGACAGCTTGGTCTTTGCCACTGCTGACACTGAGGCTCTCGCCCTGGTGAAGTCGGAGCTGCAGAAGAGACACACGTGCACAGACCTGGGTGAACTGCGCAGCTACCTTGGCTTGCAGATCACCCGGGACAGAGCACGCCGCACCATCACACTGACTCAGTCACACATGGTGCAGCAGGTTCTTCAGCGCTTCGGCTTCACCTGGTCCTCGCCACAGCACACTCCTCTGGCTACAGGCCACTCGCTCTCATGTACCTGATGACCTGCACTCGACCCCCTTCGGACGAGTCCGTAGAGCCGAGTGGCCCGTACCCAGAGCTAGTGGGCTGCCTCATGTACCTGATGACCTGCACTCGACCTGACCTTGCGTACCCTCTTGGCCTTCTGGCTCGCTACGTGGATCCTGGTCGGCACCGAAAGGTGCACATGGATTCTGCGAAGAGGGTACTGCGCTACTTGTGCGGTACATCGGGCATGGGGCTCGTGCTTGGAGGGCGGAGCGCAGTTGTCCTCACTGGGCACTCAGACGCTTCTTGGGTTGACGACCAGGCTACTCAGCGGTCGTCACAGGGTCAAACCTTCAGCCTTGGCTCTGGTTCAGTTTCTTGGCGTTCTACACGCTCGTCTTCTGTTCTCAGCTCCAGTTGTGAGGCTGAGATCTACGCCACAGCCATGGCTGCACAGGAGTTACGCTGGCTCACCTACCTGCTGACCGACTTGGGAGAGCGGCCTCGTTCTCCTCCAGTGCTGTACGTCGACAACAAGGCCGCCATTGCCTTGTGTGAGGAGCATAGACTGGAGCACAGAACGAAGCACATCGCTCTGCGTTACTTCCTGGCTCGAGAGTTGCAGCAGCGTGGTCAGCTTCGTCTTGCTCACGTGGCCACTCGGGCCAACACTGCTGATATATTCACCAAGGCACTTCCGTCTGGTAATCATCAGCGTTTCTGCACTTTGTTAGGCCTTGTGCCCATTTTTCCTCACTTGCTGTAGACTTTGCTTGTACTGTGATCTATATATATACCTGCATGCTTGCTCTGCTAGGTAGAGATCACTGTGCTGTTGTTGTTGCATATATACCTCTGCATGTGAACTGGCCTTGTGGCCCTTTGCTTGTGCTCAGTGTGTGTGGTGACGTTGTGATCCACCCTGAGCTTGCTTTGCTTCGCTTGACTAGTCTTGTGACCACTTGCTCTCCCCCACTTTGCCTATGGGGATGTGTCGAAGTATATGCATGTTATATATGTGTAGGCTGTAGTGGGTTAGCCAATATGGGGTACAGCCCCTTTTAGGTTTTCATACTTGTACCTCAACTCTTTCATACGGAAGTTGATTCATTCCTGCTGCTAGATTCTAACACATAGTGCACCTCGCCGAACGGCTCATATCATATGCGGTCGCCTTCCCAGCATGTGGGGGATACCGCCGCACAACTACTAAGACTTCACTGTATCTCCCCGTTAGGGTTGTTACCGCAGCCAATCCATGGCCAAGGTTGAACACACCGTAACACCCGGCTCTTCTAAGGTCGGTCAGAAACTGTGTGGTGTCATCTAGCGTGTGGTTGAGCTTCTCTGACGTCCACGTGAAGGTTTGCATGGGGCGGAGATGGTAGTGCACCTCCACAAGCAACCTGTTTACTCCCGCCTTCCCAGCATTTGGTAGCTACGCCTTCCTGGTATCAACACGCAGGATTACCAACCAATACTACACATTGTATCTGTTAGGGTTGTTGCACACACAATCTACGGCCAAGGGTGAACATATAACCCGGCTTTTCTAAGGTCGGTCAACAACCGTGTTGTCTCATCGAGAGTGCGGTTGAACTTGTCTGGCGTCCACGTGAAGGCCTCCATGGAGGGGTGGTGGTAGTGCACCTCCACAAGCAACCTGTTTACTCCCACCTTCCCAGCATTTGGAAGCTACGCCTTCGCCGTATCAACACGCAAAGCTACCAATCAAACCATAATTGTATCTGTTAGGGTTGTTACACACACATTCTAAGGCCAAGGGTGAACATAAAACCCGGCTCTTCTCAAGTCAGTCAACAGCTGTGTGGTCTCATCAAGAGTGCGGTTGAACTTCTCAGGCGTCCATGTGAAGGCCTCCATGGAGGGGTGGTGGTAGTGCACCTCCACAAAGAGCTCGTCCACAATGGCGGGCATGTGAGGGATGGCCAGCCACTCGTGCAGCACGGCCCACTCCGTCCCCTCTATGTCCATCTTGATTATAACTGTGTCCTCTTCTGTTAACTGAAGCTCGTCCAGCAGCCACCGCGTCACGTTCACCATGCTCTGGGGGTGAGAGTGGGGGTGGGGTGGAAAGGGGGGAGGAGTTCGAGGGCCATGGAAGAAGATGATACAGGGGAGATGAGCGGGGGAGGGAAGGGAGGGAGGGGAGGTAGTAGCACGTAGCCAACCGGGGTGGAGAATAATGCAGTGTAAGTGAGTGCGGAGGGGGGAAAGGAGGGGTAAAGAAGAACGAACGGAGGGAGGAAAAGACGGTTGGAGGCGAAAGGGATGGGAAGAAAGAGGGGATTTTTGGGGGAAAAAGAGGGTGCAAGGGGAAAAAGGTGGGGAAAGGAAGGAGTTCAGAAGGGGAGGATTTAGGAAGTGGGGAGGAAAGGGAGAAGTTTGGAAAGGGGGAAGAAAGGGAGGAGTTACGAAGGGGGTATGAAAGGGAGGAGGAAGGAAAACGGGGAAAGGGGAGAGGAGGAAAGGGAGCAGGGAGGAATAGGTGGGGTGGGAGAGGCGAGGGGCGTTAGGAAGGAGGAAAGGGAGGGGGAAGCGAAGGGAGAAAGGTGGAAAACGAGTAGGGTAGGGAGGAATCGGGGGAGGGGGAAAGAAAGAAAAGGAGTAAGCCCAAAAAAAAAAGCTTTGAGACATATCTACACCCCTTATAAGGAAAAGAGGCAGGGGGGTGGGTGGAGAGGGGAGATGAACAGGGGAGCGAGGGTAGGCAAGCTGCACTGCACCTATAGAAAGTCACACCCTATGGCGCCTAGGCACTCATGACATTAATGGCCTTTACCTGTTACTCACAGCAAGTGTGATTCTTTGTTCACACTAACCCACACAGGTTATTACCCTTTTCTTTCCAGGTGTAAAATATGTTTAAGTTCATGTGGCTGATACCTCTTCTTGGTTGTCTTGCGAAGAGATGAAGAAGTTGTAGGGGTGGACGCGGTCCATCAGCCACGCAGGGAAGCCTGCAGGGCCCCTGCCGAACGGACGCAGGCGAGATTGAGAGTTGATCTCAAAGGCTGGTACCTGAAACGGTTAAGAGCGGTACACAAACAGTAGCAAGTGGCTGGGAAGGATATGTGTGGCATGGAGAAATGAATATCGGGTAATGGCTTTAGAGCCGAGTCCTGGACATCTACATTGGAGGAAAGAAGCAATTCTGGAAGGGGAAAAACTGTAGGTGGGGAGAAGAAAGGGAGAAACGGACAGGGAGACAAGGGGCGAGGTGCGTGGAGAAGAGGTGACAGCCCCACACTCCATCCGTAATTACACTTCTTAAGCTAACCAGCCAAGTGTTTTTCCAGTGTACACCCCATGTCCCGCAAGCACAGAGGTGTGTGCGCTAGTGGGGACAAGCTAGCACTATATATGCTTATGGCGTAAATTTCCACTCAGTAACTCCCTCTGTCTCTGTCTTCCACACCACACCCTCTCCCTCCCAACCCCCTCCAATGTTGTTCACATTCTTCTCGAATATGTGTTTGTTGATGTAAGGATTTACGCACCTCAAGGGGAGGTGTAGATGGCTTCTGGAACAGATCAGTCTGCACTTCCACCGCATGAATCTCGGTAAAATCGAGGGGATACATTCGAAGGAACCAAGTGACACTTGTCTCAAATTCATTCGCTCCGAGGTCTATAAGCACCCTCCGCTTCCTGCGAAATCGCGGAATTCCGGGGAACGAAAGGGGAGAAAGGGGTTTGATTCGTGTTAGTCTGAAAGCGACGGGTCCATTAGAGAACCCAGGCGACGCAACTGTCACAACCCTAACTTCCAAGCTCCGACATCTCTTAGCACCTCCACGTTCTGCGAGTTAGGGCGAGTCAGCATGGCGTTTTATTTCAATGCTTTACAAAACTAGGTAGCGGGAGCAAGAAAGCGCTTGTACGAGATCAAATATCGACGTAGACTACACGGATTTTTATTTTTTCTGTTCCAAAGTTAAGGATTCCGATTTTGAACCCGATTCCTGCGAATGTGGAGATTAAAAAACGGAGAGAGGACTGAAAAAAAGGAGGGAATATGGGGACGAAGGAAGTCCGTTTACCTGATAGTCCTCGGACTCTATACCTCTTAATATCGACCAACATTTCATCTAAACATGTGCAGGGAACAAAATTACAATGCATTACGCACCTCCTGTGCAAGCTGGGATCCATGTTAGCTCTTAGGAACGGTAAGATCTGCGTCTTGTCCTCCACGTCGTCCACGAAACCCAGGGTCCATCCGCGGCGGAAGTTCAGGTGCGCGTCTAGCTCTTCTATAGGCAGCCCCGCTACAAGACACGGAGAAACGCGGGGTGTCCACTGCGCATTGTGGGTGTAAGCGGGGGGAGGGACGATGAGGACGCATCATTCACGAAGGGTGTTCAGTCGAGCAACATCGTATGCTGAATGCACGTTGGACATGTCAAAAAATGTTCGACCCCAATAAATCCCGAATGGGTCCCCCAGGAGACCTTCGGGTCTGATTTCGGCGGTCAGCGATTGAGATTTGGAATCGCATGTCCAGTATGCTTGTGCAGGAACCTATGATACATGATATCCTTTCTCTATCATAACATGAGAGGCCAAGAACGGCGTTTAAATCCACACACTGGGAGGGGGGATGATGGTACGGAGGGGGATAAGAGGGGACGAGGGGGAAAGATGGCGGCGACATCACTAAAAAGGCCTGTCCCAAATCTGTCCGTCAAAGCATTTGGGGTCAGTTCTGTGACAGCGCCTTTTTGACTCTTCGGAAGAGGGACGCGGGGAAATGAGGGGCAGAGGAACCATCCGAGAGGTATAATTTGGGGGATGATAAGGTCTTGACTCGAAATGACGTGCGAGAGGGAGTCGGGAACACGGGGAGGAACGCGGAATGGAGGCGTTTGAAGTAGCGGTAGCGTTCAACTCGATTAGTATGCTCCTCCCCGCATCTGACAGGGTCAGGTTCAGCCTTCGGGCTGCTTAGTACCTTCGTAAACGCCCACGCATCCTCGACACTGTTTTGCCGCGACGAGCTGCCACCTCCGTCACTTTGCACAACCGGAGTGACTCTGCTGGTTGATATCCAGTCAGAGCACGATTGAGCTGCGACGCCCCCTCCCGTTCTGCCGCCGTCTGCGATTCTTAGCGCTAAGTCGCAGTCGCATTGCGCGCATCGTTGGGGAAGCTGAACGGCAACGAGCATGATCGAGCATAGGAGGAGCAACGTCGAGACTACCGACCAAGCGAGCGCCACGGGATACGGAATTAGCGACTCGACGTTCTTGAACGGCGATTTCATTGGCGAATAGTCGAACATGATGCTGGACGGGCTGCGTGACACGGTCATGGTAAGGGCTAGCCTTGATTCTACGGGAACAGGAGCTGAATGAAAAACTGACTGCACGACACGTACTTCCGATGATAACTCCCAGCCCACCCTTCCTTTGGCCGCATCAGGGCACGTTGAGGCGATGCTCGCAAGCGCGTCGTCAAACGAGCTTGGCATTCGAAGGACGACCTGTGGTTCAAAGTGCGAGCTTGAGGTCTCGCCTTGCGACCAACGGTGATTCTCGCCAAGACATCTGTTGGTTGGCATTCTCGAGATGAATCCCGTCCACAGGATTTCGTCCAGAGCATCCTCGCCACGCGAATTGGTGGGATGCGCTGTTCCCGTTTGTGACACAAGCCGTTCCATGCCGGAAACAGGCATTACAGCGAATCGTGGAAGAAAAAGTATATTGTAGCACCAAAAATTGGATAAAAACATGGGTTTTCTGAAAATCCTTAGACACCTGAGCATCGTCACCAACACCTCTGGTATTGAGAAATCCAGTAGGTGTCATGTCAATCCACACTCGTCCACCACACCACACCTCACTCCTTCACCGCACCACAAACGTTGATCCCTTCATGCTACTGCTTCAATTGCCCTCTCCTCGGCAGCATCCATGCCAGCTATTTCAAGAATTCGAAGCCGAGTCAACTCCTGACAATGTGAAGCCACCGCACAGATATTTAGAACGAGAAAAAGAATGGGGTAAGTTATCTTGGACAAATACTAGGAGCGGTACGTGCAGCATCGGTGTAAGAGTGAACGGCAGACGAAACAGTTTAGAGTGAAGACATGACAGCTAGCATATACATTGGACACTGGCATCGCTCTAGCTGCTATGAAGTGCAACAGTGATGACGTGGCACCAGGTGTTGCAACATGCCAATGACTGGGAGGGGGCAACATATGGTAATGATGAAAATGCACTAAGAATGAAATGCCGACAGGAGCAAGAAAAGCACTAGTAATTTGGCTACATTGCCACCACTTCAGCACTTGCATCACCCCACAACACATCTCATGCTCCATCAGGGTCACGAACAACATGTGTCTCTCTCAGCCACCTGTCTGTAGCCATCCAGCCAATCGCTCTACACACTCACTTGTTGCTCAACACACTATCATTTTAAAACCATCCCAGTCAACCAGTCAAGCACTCAACACACTCACCTGTCGGTGACCATTGGTGCGGCGGTAGTTCTTTCTCCTCTTCTTCTTGAACACTATCACCTTGGCGTCAAGGGCCTGGGGACAAGCATCAGGTTTTGAAACAGCAGGGAGGAATTATATTGAGCGATGCATAGGACATACAATCGTTCTTTCTCCTCCTCTTCTTCTTGAACACTATCACCTTGGCGACAAGAGTCTGGAGACAAACATTGGGTTTTGAAACAGCAGGAATGCTCTATGTTTCGAGTTGCCTAAGCCATACAACTGCTCTTTGCCCTCGTTTTCTCTAACGCACTGTTCATGGCATCGTGACTAAGAGAAAAGGGGTGAAGAAATCAGATAGGCTTCCCAAATGCAGTGAACCACAAATCAAGCATTGGGTTCGAAATCTTCAGCGTCAATGCACGATCACTCAGAAACTGACTAGACCAAGAAAGACGTCAAACAGCCCTAGAACGTGAGATTTTTTGGGCCTAGCATGTCAATGGGGATGCCAATCAGGCTTAGCGTGTCAATAGGCATGCCATCTAGGGCAGGGGAGTGGAGAATGGAACTCACATGCTCCTCCACAAGGGCTGAAACAAAGGCGCCTGGGAGAGTGGGCCGACCAATAAGAGATTCGGAAGGAGAGCCAATCAGAAGCACCTTCTCCAAATGAATCTGACGGATGGGATTGCTCGAAGATGGACCGAGACGAGGCAATAAGTTGGCAAGAACGAGTGACACATAAGTGGAGAGATGTAACTGATGCAATGCTCGCTCCTACTATACAGTGTGCACTAGAATAGAACATGCTATGTCCCTCTCGCTTCCCACATTATCTCCATTGCACACTACTTGCAACTCAGGAGAACCAGATCTTACACACGCGCACTGCAACACCATGCATTGCAGCATGGAACCTGATGGTGCATTGGTCAATGCCTTCTGAGGTTCAAAGCACAGACTTACAATACCATCAGTAGAACACCCTCAATACAGTGCATTGCATTGCACTGCACCACCACACGAGATGGTAAGTGCAAGCAACATTGTGCAGCACCGCACTGAACCCATGGCCACCAAACCATCGACACATGTGAAGTTGAGAAATCCCACATTCACACCCTCTAACTACCACACAACACACTATGCACAGCACCGCACTGAACCTGGCCATACCACACGGCATTTCCTCGCACGATACACTCATACACAAGCCAACTTTGGCATGTTAATACCCAAATGTAGCACGTTGTAAACACAGGCACAGCACTATATACATACGCACCGCACTGAACCTGCAGGCACCGCATTCAACCCTCTCTCACCACGTCGTTGACATGGGCGAAGTTGAGCTTCTCCACGTAGATGGCGTCTCCTGGCGTCACCTTGAACTGGTGCGACCCCACCTGATTGGACAACAACGTGCCACGTGTGCAAACATGACATGTCAGCAAACAGATGGTGTTGAAAAAAGGGTGTGTTGCGGTTACAAGATAGGGGCTTCGGCTTTAGTTTGGGGGAAACCAGGGGAGCGGAAGGAAGGAGCGGGAAAAAGAAGAGTGGGGTACAGGAGGGTTGGAATTGGGGATAAGTGGAAAGGGCAAATGTGATGGTTGGTATGTGAATGGGCGGGTGCCTGTATACGGTGACAGAGTCAGGAAAAAAAAAGAATGTCTCAGAGCGATGGTGGCGGAAGGGGATGGGGAGGGGACAGGAAGGCTGGCGGGGGGGGGGGGGGGGGGGAGAGCGGGGTAGGTGGGGGGAGAGCTGGAAAGGAGGAAATGGAGGGGACACAGGGGGGAGCCGATGGAGGAGTGCTAATCGGTGGATAAAGGCAGTGTGGTTGATTGCTGTGATTGGCTGGGGGAAAGACGGGGGGGAGAGGGGAAAGAGAGGGGGGTGAGGGAAGGGGAGAGGAGGGGGGGGAGGTAGAGCAGCAGGGGAAATGGAGGGTGGGAAGAGGGGGGGAAAGGGGTGGGGACGACGAGGAGGGGAAGGATGGGGAGGAAAGGGAGGCGAAGCTTGAACGATGGGTTTCACTGCAACGATTCTACTCCTCCCCTGCACGATTGCTTATAAACTATCTGTGGCGCCTCACCAATTTCCTGAAATGGCTCTACTCCCCTACACCGCGCTTCACCAATTTACACCCATCATCGACTCAACCCCATGATCGCCTCACACCAATCATAACCGTTTTGCAACCATCATCACCATCTCACACCGATCCTCACCGTCTTGGACCCAATCACCTGAACCACTGCGAACGCGTCTAGCTCCTTGATCTCCACCCCCGCCGCCTCGCTGACGTCACTCCCCCCCTCCTGCGCCGCTCCCCCCGCCGCTCCCCCTCCGAAGCGCGCCGATGCGGGCTCCGCCACGCGGTACCCGATCTCCGCCGCGTTTTCCTTCCGCCATTGCCCCAGGAACGACAGCGCAAACCCTTCCCGCGGGGCACTGGGGGAACTCGCTTCCGCGACAGTAACATCCGCGGTATTAGCAACTGCACTAGCGTTGAGTTGACCTGATGTGTGAGCTCGGGCGACGGAGAACACCTGTGCGTGCAGCGAGCGAGGCCATAACGGGGATTTTACATTAACAGCCGGACTGGGCGGAGTGACAAGCGACGACCGCTTGACTGGCAGTAGTGAGTGCGACAGTGCGTGCGACGGTGCGTGCGACTGTGTGTGCGACAGTGTTAGCAAAATTCTATCCGACGGAAGCTTCGCAGTGGCACTAACAGACTCTAGGCCTGGACGAGATTGCGACGCACTGTGCAGCTGCGAAGGACACGGGTGAAGATGCGACGCGGCGAAAACGTGGCGAGATCGCGAAGCGGAGAACCAATGAAGCGATTCAAGGAGTGACTGCGTATCTGCGGAGTCTCGGCATCGGCGCGTGTGGCTGCTGCAGGCACGGCCCGCCGCGATTACCGCTCGCCGCATGGCGGAACGGAACAGGGAGGTACAGGGGAGGAATTCGTGGAAGCGCGTACAGAGTGATAGCACGAGGGCTGCAGGGAAAATAGGTTTGGGTGTGGTCGTACGCGGTAAAGTCTGTCGCAAGGAAGTTTCCTGAACGTAATGCAAACCTTATAAATGCAAAAACTGGAAAGTAGACCTCCTAAAACCTGGAAATCGAACCGCGTCCAGACCAGAACTGTGGGCAGTAGATTCTCGAGGGTCGAACGTCCAACAACAACCACGAAACGTTCTCCGAAGCAGATGCGACGTGCGAAATGAACATGACAAAAAGCGAAATCCTCACCGTTGGTTGACTCGCTTGTAGTTTCAACCGTCGATGAAGCGCTAGCCCATTCAAGGAGATACAATTTCTTGCTTGCAGATTTGGCAAAACAGGGTATAGGGCTCAATTTGGTGTCTTCTATCAATTCGTTTTATTGCGGTGAAATGAGATGTTGTGAATGTCAGAGCGGCTTGAAAATACAGAGGCACCGCGCATACCACCACTCCTCCTCCTCCTCCTCCTCCTCCCTCTCTCCCGGGATTGCAATGTCGGTGAACCAGTTCTCCTTCGGGCTTGCTTTCACGAACATCGCCTTTGGCACCAAGTACCCCCCTTTCGTGCTAAGGATGGCCACTGCGGTGTGCACCTGCCGTGCATGTGTGGGTTTGCACAAGGATCATAACATTGTATCGCGATACCTTGGATCATATGCGTCCCCCACTCACAACGCACAAACCTGATTTACAACTAAATCCACCCGCCCAACTTAACAGCAAAACACGGTATCTCACCAACACACGTGCGGTCTGCAGGCCTTCCGCGGCCATTAGTGTCGCCATGTTGTCGAACTCGCTCCCCACCGTCTCCCTGTACAGCTTGCGCAGTGGATCGTCGTCCGTCATGAGACACATGGCCTTGCTGGTGCGGGTCAGCGCGGGCTTCATGCTGCGCACAGCCAGTGTGGTGGATTGTGAGCACAGATGGGAAGAAATGGCGGCGTAATAAGTTCCTGACAAGACGTACTCCTGTGAGTCTTTTACAAACGCCACCTACACTTCTCATCGACGCGTGTTGTACCTCTCGCAATGCGGTGTAGTATGTTCTCCCACCACCCGACAGGGCTGCAATCTCCCTTGTGATCTCGCGCTGTGTCTCCTCCTCCACAATCCTCCTTGGGATGTCTTTCCAGTTGCTTCCGCGCACGGGGCCTTTCACTGTTTCCTTGTGGGTGTGCTCCCACAGCTCCGTCGAATACTCATGCGGCAACCCCTTCATGGATATGCCGTCAATGAGGTGCACTACTTCGTGGAGCTTCACAAAGTTCCACTTCGACTTCTGCTTCGGGAAAGCCGCCTGCAGTGCAGCAACCAGCCTACACGAACGTGTAGACCCATCGTACTGAGCGCATTCTTCCAGCAGCACATATGCGGAACAACGCATGTTTTAGTACAAATCCTGCGTCCAGCAAGTACACTCACGAGATTCCATGTTGCCTTGCGATAGCGAGGGTCAGCCGCGTGTGCTTGGTCACGGCCAGCAGGGACTTATAGAAGACCGCATAGTAGCGGAAGGCACGAAACTCTTTGTCCCTCTGATCCCGTTCCTCCGTAGAGCGCCCCACGCACAGGTCCGAAATGATAATCGGGAAAACCTGCATCATGCCACGATACTCGAAAGCTGCGTAATTCGCCCCGCTGCGGAAAAAGGTGGAGCCACCCGGGATGCGCACCAGGACACTCCTTGTGTCGCCCTTCACTCCAAACTTGCGGCTGTATCAGTCACCAAGCACCCATAGGCAACGACATGCAAAAGTTCCCCTGGTGAGATCCGCCCCGGGCGTAGTACCGCATACAAAACACTGCACAGTGGCTCCCATTACTCACTGGTCAAACCCTCGTATCTCGGCCTTCGTCTTCCCCTCCATGAAACATGTGGCCATATGCACCAGCACCTCGGAATCCAGCACATGCAATATGTCGCCAACCACCGACAGGAAAACGTTACCCCACTTCGTCTCAGAGAAGTTCCAGCGCTCCAGAACGCTCTGCACATTCCAGGGCGACGTCGTACTGATCGTAACGGACACCAATACGCCTCAAAAATCCCTTGCCGACAAGATGCCTCAACAATCATGTGCCTACAAGATGCCTCAACAACCATGTGACTTGCACACGTGAACACATTGCGCGCACCGTGATGGGATGCGTAGACCACCTGGCCTGGACCGCTGCGGCTTCGTCCACCGTCTTTGCGCTCAGTATCTTCGCCGCCGCCTGCCGCTCTCGCTTCACTGTGCGCACTATGTACTCGTTGGACAGGTCATGGAGGTGCGCCCTCTTGATGTAGCAGCTCGAGCACGGTCTGTGCGAAGCCTGCTGCATCGTTGCTGTGGCTCGGCACCCTTCCGGATAGTCGCCGACGAATGCATATAGGCATGGATATGCCTTCACCACACCTCCGAGCCCGTCTGACACATCGAAGGATCGAAGCGGACCCCTGCATGCACAATGTAAAGGTTCGATGGCTTTCAAGCGCCGACCATGGACCCCATCGCCGCCAACGGCCTGCATGATGCATTCAGACCACTTACTCGCGGCTCTCTCGCATCAACGGACCCATCACAATGCGATACGCCTCCTGATACACCTGATTCTTCTCCGTCGCCGATGCCCACTCTGGCGGAAAAGGGAGCACACCGACTAGAGCGTGCCCTGGCTCACGCCATCGTAATTCCTCCGGGACATTGACCAACCCCATCAGCATTGGCCATGCCTGTAGGCGTCCGTTCCCCGACGCGTAGGTGGTGTCGCTGTACGAGATGACACCCAGCACCATTGAATCCTCCTCCGGCAGTTCCGCCTGACAACGACACAACGTGACCCAGTAGGTCAAACCAACTCACACCGTCGCCACATGTGACGCTTGGGAACATGTGCAGGTACTTGCCTGCGCCTCATGAAGCCAAGTCCCCGTGTCGGGCGTACTGTAATGTCTCGTCTCTGTTGTATCCTCCGGATCTCGCCGCGGCCTTTTGACAAATCCCCTGACATTCACAAATGTCTTCACCATCTTCTGCGCTATCTGTCCACACAAAGGCGGAAAGACCATTTCTTGAGTCAGTACATGGCTCGTTACTGCACCCATAATCAATCGCTCACCAGCTTGGTGTCCTTGTATAGCAGTTCCAGCATCTGAGACCTTCCTCCGGGCCCCCGCACCTCAATCTCTGCCTTGAGCCACGGCACCATGTCGTCGGGCGCGTGTTCCTCTCCATACCGCCTCACGTCCGCGACGTTCTGCCAGCGACGAACCGCTGCAGGATCGTATCCCGGGTGGTTGAATATGTGCAACACTCTATTGATTTCTCTGTCCGATAAATCCGCGTCCTTAAAGAACAAGTACAGCTCGTTCAGTGTATTGAACAGCTCGCCAACTGTGGAAACCGATCCATCGTCCGACGACGTCACATACCCGCGCACAAAGTCCGCGCGCTCAGGGGACTCTCTCAGATATCGGAACAGCGAGTCCGCGGAGGTGGGGCTACCTAGGACAGACTCACTGTCCGAATGATGCGGGCTACTTCTGACCGCGGCCAGAGCCTCCGCCAACGCCTCCACCGCCCTACTCTCTAACCTCTCGAGCAGCGTGTCCCTACACGAGTCATTCCGATACAGATGGATCCTAAGCAGGTTGTCTGATCCCAACTCCTGCCCACATGCACCGCACCTGTTCCCTGCCATATTACCTAATCTACGCAACCCCCCCTCCCCAAGGGCCGTACACTGCCTTCTCCGCTAGTCCCCCCTTGCCTACCGAACGGTCATACATGATATACACTACACGCAGTATCACCTATGCGCTCTTTGAGCCACTCATAACCTGCATATAGCCACCGAAAGCGCGGACTCTACTTCTCGCGCACCCCCGAGCGTCCTATTATTCCGCTTACCATTAAGGCATCCGGGGATCATCAAACATACCTTCTACGTCACCCCACTATCACCGGTTGTATACTGGCGGGTAGACGACATCGTGCATGCACGATTGGCGGAGAGTCCCCCAGGTCGGCCTTATCCGTAACGAGAAACCCTAACCGGCTCAAATGTCTGCGGTAAAAAAACCCACCACATAAGTGTCCTGTTGCCGCTTTCGGGGTCTGTGGTTACACCACTGGGGGTATATACTCGATACAGCAAAGCAACGGGCATCAATGCTACCACTTCGGATGTATTTGATGCGCAATATCGCTACATTAAAACGCATAAAAGGCAAATTATAACGACTAATGCTAACTCATTACAAAAACCGCCCTGGTCTCCTCCCACCACTACAGGCACATGGAGTTGCAAGAGCATAATACTACTCCGGTACAAGTCCATGTTCTCCAGAACTCCAGACTTCCCAAGTACGGCAACCTTCTCCATATTGCCACGCCTGAGTTATCTTATCAGTAAAGGCTATAACGGTGTTCACGCCTACTACGACGTGACCTCATGAGCCGATCAAGCACATTTAACAGGAGCAACGCTCCATCGACATTGTCGGTCCTGGTAGAATCTGCCATAATGGATCAACGACAACTTGTGAGGCAATGTGAAGCACCAGCCACGCCAAAAAAACGAGACATCCCCTACCTTCTGAGTCCACGACGTGCATACGCCTGCGCCTCACGCGGCGCCGCCCATACTCGTGGGTACTTTCCTCCGGGCATCCTAAGAAACATGTATGCAACGCGCGGAGCGCGTGTTTAAAAACGTGCAGCAGGGGTGTCAACAATTGCAGCACGAAGTCGAGCAATTTGTGTTGTTTGTTACGCACCTGTCTGTGACTGGACGTGCATCGTAGGAGTTGCGGCGCTAGACACGCAGGCAGCCGGAGCCCCGTACGCGGAACTCGATCGGGCGTAGTTTGGAGGGTCGGACCCATCCGTCTCAACGGGCACATTATTCGCGTCGCCTCTGTTGCCCCCGAAGAAAAAGTCGAAGAGATCATTCACGCGGGTGGAACCTTCTCGTGCATCGATCGGGGGATCTCCGCTCTCCGCACCCGCGGCTATTTCCTCACCCCGCTCCGTTTCCGGGCTACAAGGGGGAGAATGTGCAGCATTTACATTCCCCCCAGCTGATATGTTGGTCTTTCCACACTTCTCAGGACCCGTAGCAGGCTGTTTAGCCCCCGCGACACCCTCCCCCGTTTGGTTATCAGAGGAGTGTACCTTCTGCTGTCGGCCAGTTACCGAGTGTGGCTCCGGTGTTACAGTCACCAGGACGGTTTTATCCCGACTAATATCCGCAACAGCTCCTATATCACCACACGCCAGCGGAGCCTGCATGCGCGTGCCATCGCGATCAACGGTACTACTGAGTAGCTTGTGGATATGCCGCTCCGCTTCCTTAGTCTCGTTGCTTCTAGGGGAAGCCATACAGGGCATTAGGTTAGGGTTTGACAGAATGGCCACACAGTGCAAAACATGACCCATTGTATTTGCCTCCCAAGCACCGAGGCCACGTCGGAAGCCATATCCAACCCCGATAACGATTGGTCAACTCTCGCTGTTTGTACATGTACACTTGATTTGATTAGGGTGTATGCAGAATTGCGTGTAATATGAACTTAGTGAGTGTTACATGTCCAAAACAAAACTCCAAGCGCGGTGCACTTGCTACAGCAAGGCTCCATCTAACAACGGCATAAATTCGGAGAAGGTTTAGGCTCATAATAAACCAACTCCATAGCAACCCAAGCCCACGTGCCGGTAATCACATTGCGCCAGTCTACCGCTTAAGGTGGGCCTTCACGAGGCGAACAAAGCCAGAATCTACATGCTTGGATGAAGTGCCTGTCATAAACTCCCCCCGGGTGGGCTTCGTAGATACACTGGACCACCACGGGAGCATCCCGAGCGCTCGACTAAGATCCCCAATGCGCACTCCTTCATCCTTAT